TTCAAAAGCTATGACTGAAATTAAGACCCAATAAGCAGGATATGCCAATTTGCAGATGGTCTGAACTGAAGCCTTTTCTCTTTTTTCTGTAATTCACGCGATGCAGCCTGGTTTTGCTAGGTCTGCTCATTGTGCCTCGTGGTTGAACACGCCACAGTTTGGTTAGATACACTGAGGCTGCAGGTGGGCAACAAGCTAGAAGGGCAGTCGTGTCCCTCTCTCCGGCCCATGCACTCCTGCTTGCCCCCAGCAAACCTGCCATTTTGCTGATTACTATTCTGCCAATTTAACGAGGTAGGCAAAATTGCCGGAGCCAGTGCAAGGGAGCAGGGAAGGGGCAAGACGGTCTCGCTTAGAGCCAGCAAGCTGCCAGGTAGCTCAGACAGTGCTCCAGGCTGTGCCCAAAGTGGCGATGAAGAGCTCCCCAGCACGGGTCAGGCAGCTCCAGAAAACATCTAGCTCTGTGAAACACAGAGGTGACACTCTCTTACAGGTATTTGTATCTCTTCTGAACCCCAGGGAAAGGGCTTGGACTGGTTTGCAGATATTCAGGAAAATTACAGGGCCCTCCTTCACCTCCTTTGAGCCCTCTTTGGAAAGATTAAAGAAGCACCAGCAAAAGAGCTGCTCAGCAACTTCAGCCATAAAGTAGGGCAGAAGGATTTGTAAGAAATGGGAATTATCCTCACTTTTTTTTTTCCCCCGCTTTTAAATTATCACAGGTAGAATTACAAACCCATACAGTCATTTGGGTCATTTAAAGAGCTTCTTCATTACTTAGATAATTACTCACCCAGAGCGTGTATTCAGCAGAGAGCAGCTGAGCAGGCAGCCACCCATCTTAAGGCAACCAAAAACTAGACTGACAGTTCTGCAGACTCTTCCTATAGTAAATTTTGCAACTCAACGTTTGAATTCCAAGTAACTGAAAACTGCTAAACTAATCCTATCAGAGATAACAGTGGGCAGAGATAATCCCTAGAGGAATGGACAAGAGGTAACAGAGGCAGTGAAGGGCAAAGAAAATACATTGA